AGGAAAACACTCTTGGGAAATTTAAAAATTAACTTAAAGGTCTCTTAGCATGATATAGTGAGCAACAATTAGAAAGATATAATTAACATATGATACATAGCTGTGATTTTGTCCAAACTAATTAAAGCAGTTGTTCTCTTATCAGTGTATTAACACTATATCAAACTATATTAACAGCTCACATATATTCTGTAATTTCCAATTTAAATATTACTTGATATGGTGATGAAGGCAAGTCTTTGTTAAAATATACCATATTACTTCAAGTATTGCAACAGAAACTGTATTTCCATCAGATCCTACAGAGGAAGATTTAAATCAGTGACACTACTAGGTTAAAAAAAAAAAAAAAAAAAGAGAGAGAAAAAAATGGACCAATGTCTGATTTTAAGACAGATAAGCGTCATGTCATACATTGTTTCCTCTAGTACTTCTGCCTCTCAGGCACTGGAAGGGCATGTGTGTCTGCATGCACTCCAGGGGAAAGATGGCCTGGACACAACAAGCTGAGGTAAATGGAAATTGGGCTGGGGAGTATTTAATTCCTCCTAATGAAGAGGGAGTTCCCACCTATGCGCTTTCCCTAAGGTGTTATGTATAAAGACCCAACAGATGTTGTAAATCACATCAGAAGAAAAGTAAATACTGAAAAAATACCAAACAAGACCTATGCAGTTTTATCCAGGGACACTTCTTTAAAATTCCTGTCCTGTATACTATGCTGCTGATCTTTAAGCAACATACAAGCAACTTAGCTGCAGTGATATAGATACAGAACCGTAAATAAACACATCAGAAAAAGAGTCAAGTTATTTCTGCTTAAACAAAGGGAAGACAAAAGGTATGCAGCAGTATTTCAGCAATTCCCAAGATACCAAAACATACCTCAGCTTCCAGGTTAAAGGGTGACATCTTGGCCTTAATAAGATACAGGATAGCTATGGATGAACCTGACTGTAAGCAAATCCTGCTATGGATTGAAAGAGTTGTTATTGTACAGATGACATGCACATGCATGCAACAGTCTTAAACAAGCTGAAACCTACCACGAATTACACACTTGTCCTTTTACACTAGCCCAGTCTTATGAAAGTGATTTAAATGGCAATGGAGGGGACCTGGAGCACCATCTGAGACAAGGTCTGTAGATAAAGAGAGAACACAGTGCTTTCTGTTTGCAATGCTGTTTATTTTAGAAAAGCCCCTTTGATCATCTGAATGAAAAATGTGGGCAGAAAAGTCACAAATGTTATAAAACAAAGTTTATTCTGCAATATTTTGTCATAATGAATTGCATCTCTTTGGTAAAAATAAACTTTATAAACATTTTAATTAACAGAGATTAGCATACAAAAAACTAAACTTCTGTAAATCGTCTTTAAAACGGGTAAAGGACTAAAATGGAGAAAAAAGGGTTAGAACTGGTCACCTACTGGCAAAATTATTCTAAACAAACCCAAGGACATTGCTTATGCTACATTAGAAACAAGCTAATGGGAATGGTTTAAAAACAACTCTGGTTCATTTGATCAGAAAGCATTGTTACAATTCACTTTTAAATAAATAATAGTTACAATGAATTGGCAATTATAAAATGTTTTATATCACTATATGGCAGTAACATAATACTTTCAATTATGCACTTTTTAGTTTGAAGAAATGTACATTTATAAAACAGACTTGATAATGGCACTGGCAGTTAGATGTGAAGAATGTGCTTTAAGATATAATGGCAGGTGCAACATTTAAAATATTCTACCTTTTCTTTTCAATAAATATTTTGACTACACCATTATTAACATGTATGAGTGTACTTTGCTTTAACCAAAGCTTGTACTTACTTCTCAGGCTGATGAAAAGTAGCAAACCATACAACCTGCATTTGGGTTTTAAAATGTTTGATGTGACTTGCAAAAGCAGTAGTTTAATATTGGAATCTGGAAGGCCAATACAGGTTCGTACAGTATTCACATCAGATTTATCCTGAACAGAGCAGCCTCCCTTGTACATAAGTCTCATACACTTCTTCACTGTATTTAAATAATTGAATGTGGTTCATTAATACTTTTCTTGCCAAAATATATCCAAGTCAACCACTGGCAGGAACATTTTACATATGTCACTAAAAAAACAACCCAAAACCAAACAATCAACATAACTTTTAATTATACTCCATTTATACTATATACACCAGGGTCTCTAATTGAGGTGGCAAACAAACCCAAACCTAGATAGGTAAGTGGAAGGAAGGGCAGCTATTCTCCCACTACCAAAAGAGGTGCTCTGCAGCTGGGCTGGCAGCCTTGCCCTGCCAAAATGCCTGGGCAGAGGTGTGGGACAAAGTGGTGGAATACATCAGGGGCAGCGATCAGCTGCCTTCTCCCTTGGAAGAAGAGAAGGAAGTTGGCAAAGCATGGAGAGCGTGGCCCTGCTTACCCCCCCTTCCACTATTCCATTTCTGCCAGGCTGAAAGCTGTATGGGTTGATGCAGCCTTCACCAACTTTTGATTAGTATGGTTTTATTGCTCGTTGCGTATGGTAATTAAATGCACTGTTAGCATCCCAACCCCAACCCTTCAGAAATGCTGAAGTCATTGTAACTAACTTCAGGGTTAACAGTGGCACAACCACACTCCTAGTAAGTGTTAACCTTCTCAAATTTTATGAGACAAAAAAATAATTTAGAACCAAACCACAGAGCCGACTATGACCGCAGTTTCCAGAACACTTGGACCTTGATCCAGCTTTCACTGGAAAATACAGGAAAGCTGCAGCACCCCTCTTCAGCAGCACGCAACTAAAACCACGGCACCAAGCAGAATCCTAGACGGCTAACAATATTTGTGTGGAGCTGAATCCTCATTTTTGCATTAACACAAACTCTGCCCTTTGCAGTTTTCCATCAAGGATCAAGGTACAAAAGCAACCCATGAGCAAAAAGCAGTTCTACTAAGCCTTCACATCTCCACCTCTCAAAATCCTAAGAACCACTGTGCTGGTACTTAATTTTCCTTTGAATAGCAAGTTTTATCTCTACTTTATCCATCAGTAGCACATTTTGATATCAGATCTAATTGGCTAATGCACCACTTGTGATATCCAGAAGACATACACATCTGCACACACGTTGCCCTGTTATGG